AAGACAGGCCCTGAGGGGCGCCTGGCTGGCTCAGTCGGTTGAGCGTCCAACTCTCGATTTCGGCTCAGGTCATGATCTCACAGTTTCGTGGGTTCGAGTCTCACGTTGGGCTCCGCGCTAACAACACGGAGCCTGCTTGGGATTCTCTCTTTCTCTGCCCCTCCCCCGCTCGTGCTGTCCCTCTCCCTCTCTCTCAAAATAAATAAATAAAAATAAATATAAAGATACGCCTGCGTACTCTATGCCTCTATACAGGGCTTCCGTACAGGGGGACCTCAGAACTACTGTTTCTTCGTGTGAGCTCTCATCTCCCGGCCTGGGTTCAGGTCTGGAACATGGGAGCCAGCTAAGCCATCACGGCTGCGCATGTGATGGACGGAGTAGAGTAGGTGGGACAAAGGAAAAGCTCATCCTGATGACATTAGCCGAGCACGGAAGCAGGGAGGCTCACTCAGGATCCTCTGTGCCCCGGAGACTCAAGCAAGGAAACTCAAAACAGAAAGGCCTTCCTCCTGCAGCTTCACAGTGGAGACGTGCAAATACAACACTCACCAACGTTCATTCACAGAGCGCATTCTCCATGCCAGCCCCACTTACGAGGTGGCCAGATACAACAGATAATATCATCATGCTCACTGTACAGACAGGGAAATCAGGGCAGAGAGGGGTGATGGACATGGCCCGGGATACTACAGCTAGTGAGTGACAGGTCTGGGAGGCAACTCAGCTTAAACCCAAAACCTGTTCTCTTCTTTTATTATTATTTTTTTGGCAGGGAGGGAGGGGAGGTGCGGCTGGGTGGCTCAGTCGGTCAAGCGTTCGACTTCGGCTCAGGTCATGATCTCGTGATTCGTGGGCTCGAGCCCCGCGTCGGGCTCTGTGCTGACAGCTCGGAACCTGGAGCCTGCTTTGGATTCTGTGTCTCCCTCTCTCTCTGCCCCTCCCCCGTTCGTGCTCTGTCTCTCTCAAACATAAATAAATGTTAAAAAAAAAAAAAAAAAAAGCTGCAGGTTGGAGAAGGCTCCACTCTGCCCCCATCCTCAACCCTATTGTAGCCGGCATTTGCTGTCAGGAAAAAAGCACCCCATGCACCCAGCTGCCCCAGCCAGAAACTCACCCGGCTCATTCTGTCACCTCCCTCTGTCTCACCTGCCCTATTCTAGCCTGTCCAGGCGTCTCTCAGACCCTCACCTTGCCCGCATCAGCTGGTCAGCTGGTCCGAAGCCCACCGCCCCTTCTGCTGAGCCGCTCTGTCACCCCCACCCCTCCCCCAGCCCTTCCTCACAGAAGAGGCAGGGTCATCTCATCCAAAGAGAAATCAGACCACATCTCTCCAGATTAAAACCTTCCAGACTGTGCACTCACGTTCATAGCTGCGTTGTTCACAATAGCTAAAATGCGGACACAGCCCAAGTGTCCATCGACCGATGAACGGATGGCAAAATGTGGTCTGCACGTACAACGGAACATTATTCAGCCTTCAAGGGGAAAGAAATTCTGCAATATGTTCCACGGATGAACTTGAGGACATGGTGCCAAGTGAAATGAGCCCGTCAGAAAGACCAGTACCGTGGGATTGCACACACATGAGGCAGTTAGGAATCAAAATCACAGAGACAGATACCCGAATGGGGACTGCCAGGGCCTGGGGACGCAGAGGGAGTTAGTGTCTAATGGGGACAGTTTCAGTTTTGTAAGACGAAAAGAGCTACAGGGATGGCTGGTGCGGACGGCTGCGAAACAACGCGAATAGATTTAATGCACTCAACCGTGCACCTGAAAGTGATGAAGATGGTAAATTTTGTATTATGTATATTTTAACACATTTTTAAAAAGCATTAAAAAGGGGCTTCTGAGTGGCTCAGTCGATTAAGTGTTTGACTCTTGATTTCAGCTCAGGTCATGAGTTCACGTCTCTTGAGATCGAGCCCCGCTTCAGGCTCATCTCGAAGGCTGGTTGGGATTCTCTCTCTCTTCCCCTCTCCCCCTGGCCCTACCCCCCTCAAAATAAATAAATAAACATTTTTTTTAATAATAAAAATTTAAAACATTAAAAAAAAAAAAAGAAACCTCTTCCAGAGCTTCCCAGGACTCTGAGCATACAGACCTTGGCAGGGGCCCCCTGCAAGGGGCCCACCCCATTCCCCACCCCCTAACACAATGCTTGGCACATAGGTGCTCAACACGAAATCAATGAATGGGCATTTGACCGAATGTTGAAGTACAAACAGGATTTGGAGAAGTAGACAAGACGGGAGGTATGTATTCCAGGCACGAGGCATCCTTTGTGAGAAGGTAGAAAGGCGTGAAGAAACATACGGAACGTTCCCACATCCACAAATACTAACATAGGGTTAAATCACTATGCAGGGAAGTGGCGGAATGAGGCTAAGTGGTCAGCAAAAGCAGTGTAGATCGCACTTGAATTTTACCCTGTCCGCAAGTGGATGCTTTCAAAGGGTTTCAAGACAGAGGACACGATCAGCTGGTTTTAGAAAGATCGTTCTACAGGCCTTCCCGATGAGGGCAAGTCGGGATGGGAGGCCGTTTAAGAGTTGGCTTTACCAGGCCAAGCCTGTGTCCTAAGGCAGGTGCACTGGAGAAGGAAGGGAGCAGCCACAGATGTGGCAGAGGGAGGTGAGAAGGGGCTACGGCCAGAGTCTGGAGCTGATGATACGTAAGTGCCATTGGTAAAGAATAAACGTCTCGAGAAGAAGGATGGTTGGAAAGAAAGCAGGAAAGAAAGCCTTGGGAGCACAGGACAGAGAACAGTGCAAGAAGGAAAAGGTCAGAAGGGTCAGGGCCATTAAGAGGCCAAGCGAGATATGGACTGAGTGCCCATGGATTTGGCCACCAGGAGGGCAGGACTTAAGAGCAGTTTCGGGTGGGAACAGACCCAGCCCCGAGCAGGGCATTCTCCAGGCTGATTTGAGCCTTGGGTTTCTCGTGGGCTTTCTGGAGAAGGCCATTATCTGTCAACATGCTTCAGTCCAGGGTCTCCCCCAAGTCTGATCATGAAGATGCTCTGGTCCATGCGACACCCCCAGCTGCCTTCCTTCGAGAGGCAGTGAGAGGAGCCCAATGGAGTATCCAAAGTCCTGAGCCCCATTCCTGTCGCACCTTGTGGGATGAGCCTAAGACCTTGGTTTCTCCTGGAGCGATGGGTCCAGGTGGACTCTAATTGCCTCTGTTGATCTAGACTGCTCCCGTGCTCAAGTTCAAAGAGAGTGGCACAGGCAGCCAGGGCTCCGTGCCCTCTGACCTGGGTCCCCTTGTGGCCTCCACATGGAACTCTGGGTTTCCCCTGACCGAGTGCCCCATTGTGTGAGTTCAGTTTCAATGGAGAAAGAAACCGGGTTGAGCAAAAAGAACATTTACTTTTCCCACCAAGCTGATGCCCAAGTAAATAGTGTGGTCCCATCGGTGGAGCCCAGGTCCTGCCCCCTTCCCTCCCTCCAAGTGCAGCCTGGATTATTTAAGAAGGCACCCCAGTTGAGCACACCTCACACGAGACCATCGGACACAGAGACAGGCCAGCGCCTCACTCACCAGCCTCCTGACCACCATGAAGCTCGCCATGACTCTTGCCCTGGTCACCCTGGCTCTCTGCTGTAGTCTTGGTGAGTGCCCAGAGCCCCTCTTCCCCAAGCCCGGCTCAGGAACCCTCGCTGCCACCCGGTTGTGCTCAGGAGAGGGGGCACCTATTTTACTGGAAGGCTGACTCCCAGCCAGGAGTCTTGGCCTGTGAACAAGCCCATCTTGGGAACTTGGGGAGCACCCTGAGTCTGTGGGGAAACCAGGAAAGGATCCCATCTTCTATATCCAACAACCTCAGAATTTCAGAGTCAGAACAGACTGGAGGCAGGGCTGGAGGAGATCCAGTATGGATGTGTGTTCAATGACCAACAGAATAGGAATAATGAGCTTCTCAGGGCCCGGTCTTGGAGAACCCCCAAGACGCCAAGAGACCTTGGTACAGTGAAGCCTTCAGGTTTGGGGTCTCCACACTACTCTGGGAGCCAAAGAGGCTCGAAAGAGCTATAGAGCCCCATGTCTCCAAAAGAAACCCAAGCAAAGGCAAGGTCTCCCATTCTGGGCAGAGAGGAATATTCTAGAAAGGGATCTTCCCTTTGGGAAACTGCCAACCCAGAGTGGAGTTTTCTAAACATTTTTGTCCTCCTCCAGAAGGATAAGGAGTCTCTGAATAGTTGCAGCTGTCACTAAGAGGAAAGGAATGAGAGAGAGGGAGAGAGAGGGAAGACGGAAGCAGGAAGGGAAGAAGGAAGGGAGGAAGGTGGATCCTACTTCTCTTGAAGCCCCCTGATCTTTTGGGAATTGAGTTACCTGTTTTTCACTCTGTATCAACCTCTTCTACTCCTTTTCATAAGCAAAGAAGCAAAAAGATTTTTATTTTTTAATTTTTTTTTTCAACGTTTATTTATTTTTGGGACAGAGAGAGACAGAGCATGAACGGGGGAGGGGCAGAGAGAGAGGGAGACACAGAATCGGAAACAGGCCCCAGGCTCCGAGCCATCAGCCCAGAGCCCGACGCGGGGCTCGAACTCACGGACCGCGAGATCGCGACCTGGCTGAAGTCGGACGCTTAACCGACTGCGCCACCCAGGCGCCCCTTTTTTAATTTTTTTAATGTTTATTTATTTTTGAGAGAGAGAAAGACAGAGTGTGAGTGGGGGAGAGGCAGAAAGAGAGGGAGACACAGAATCCGAAGCAGGCTCCAGGCCCTGAGCTGTCAGCACAAAGCTCGACGTGGGGCTGGAACCCATGAACCATGAGATCATGACCTGAGCTGAAGTCAGACATTTAACCAACTGAGGTACCCAGGCGCCGCCCGCTTTTCATTCTTACAATAATCCTATGAAATAGGGGTATGATTCCCATTTTACAGATGAAGAAATGGAGCCACACAAAGATAAAGATACTTGCCAGATGACACAGTAAGTTGCAAAGCAGGGCTCAAAGTTCTGGAGAGGGCTTGACTTAGAGCGGCCACTGGGGGGTGCCCGGATTCCAGGCGGGGAAGCCGAATTTGCACACAGGCAGAAAATTCAAGACGGGGACTGAGACTCCATGGGAAGAAGGGCCAAGTAGGGCGTAGGAAACGGTGACTCTCCCCCACATTCCTGGGAGCAGGAGCCTAAAGGGGGAGCACAACTGGGGAGCACTCTGGGTGAAGGGAATATAGTGGGGCCGGGAAGGGAAGCAAGAGGCTTGTGGGCAGGTGAGTGCACACCACAGGGCCCAGCGCCTCTTCCAGGCCAAGTTCAGGGGCTTGCACTTGGCTAGAGCCTGACTCCGCCAGAGCCTGACTCTGCCACTCCCCTCCCCGTCCCAGGAGCAAGCGGCTGAGATCATCACTCACCCTTGGTAAGAGGCACATTTCTGGTGGGACAACCGAAGCCCTCAGTAGCCTCTCCCCAGACCCCACGTTGCATAAAAGATCAGGTCAGCACCTCCTCCCATCAGCCCTCTGCCTAGAACTCGCAGAAGGAACACATGGCACCCCCCCCCCGCCCCAGCCCAGGAGGTGCCAGGAAGGCTCAGACAAGCCGCAGAAGGCTGCAACCCGGGAAGGACCCCCGCGACGCCAAAGAGCCAACTCCTTGGAGCACCACCAGATCTCCCATTCAACGCATCCCTTCGACGAAAAGGCTGCTATCTCTTGCTGACAGGCCCGGCCACTTACATCTGGGGACTGGCCCGGCCAGGGGCCCTGCCAGCTTGGAAAAGGGCCCGGACACATGTGCTCTCTCTTTTCTGTGCTTCAGCTTCCGCAGAGGTCTGCCAGAGCTTTCTAAACGTCATGGAAACCCTCTTCACGGGCACGCTTTCCAGTTACGAGGCCGCCGTTGAACCTTTCTTGCCAGACGCGGACATGAAAGACGCGGGGATCCAGCTGAAGAGGCTGGTGGACACGCTTCCTCAGAAGGCCAAGGAGAGCATCTTAAAGCTCACGGTACCCAGCTTCCTTGACTCACGCAGTCTGAGAGCGGATCTCCCCCCTCGCTTGGGTGCAGCCTGGGCCCATTTTTTGGAGCCTTTTCTGACCCAGTGCAAATATCCCTGGGGAAGCAGGCTCAGTCACCTCCCCCTTTTCAAGAGGCTTCTGCGGGGACGCCTGGGTGGCTCAGTCAGTTAAGCGTCCGGCTCTTGATTTTGGCTCAGGTCCCGATCTCACCGTTCCTCAGATCGCGGGAGCACGGAGCCTGCTTGGGATTCTCTCCCTGCCTCTCTCGCTCTCTCTCTGCCCTTTCCCTGCTCTCTCTCTCCCCGTCGCTTTCTCAAAATAAATAATCAAAACAATCAAAACGCTTACAAGCTCAGCTCTTCCCAGACCCACTGAACCTCTTCGTCGACATTGAAGTTCCTGCGTCTCGTCATCTTGGTCGACCTCTGAGGTTCACTCGCCACTGTCTTGGGGGGTTTTTGTGTGTGTGTTTTAGGACAAAATCGTAAGAAGCCCACTGTGTGCTTAGGATTCAGAAGCTGAAGGTCTCCAGCCGCCGAAGTCCCTGCTGCTCCCCAGACGCTTCCCTCACTGTGTCCCCAGCCTGGCTCCCTTCAATAAAGCACAAGCATCTCACCTTTGTGTCCCGAACCCCCCCTCTTTTTTGTCCCCCTGCTCCAGTGGGAAGGTGTGTCGCTGCTAGGGCAAGGGTAGCAAGTGCAAAGGGACAAAGGGAAAGTCACTGGCTGTGCAAACATATCTCCAAGGAGCCCAGGAGTCTCACTTCCTGTTCCCCACACGCACCAGGCTCCTCACAGTTGGCAGGAGTGGGGACCGGCACACAGTCCCTTGCCGGAGCAGAGAGCCACCCAGGGCCCTGCTCAAACTTAACCCACGGTGGAAGAAGGGAGGGTCCAACGGGGTGGTGGCTGCCCTCAGAAAGACGCCCCAACCCGCGTCCATTTAGTGATGGAATCCACTGCTCTGTTTCTTCCAGTCTCTTTGGAATCCTGCTCTTGGGTGAAAAAGTAAATAGTTAAGGTGATTATGCTACCCAGACGTGCCCGCAAGTAAAGATGGCGCTTTCCAGAGAGTTCTGTCTCCTGTAGACAAATGGTGGACGTTTCAAGCATGCGGTTAGAGCAGTTGGGATCTGTTAGGGGTTGGGTGGCCCTGTGTCAGAGGCGCCTCAAGTCACACACAGCACACAACCATGCGTGGAAGGAATCGGTTTCCTGTCAGACACTTAGGCAACAAAGGCCGGAGTGGGGAATAGGCTCAATTCCTCCATGAGGGACCCAGGGTGTTTGGGGTGCTTTCGAGAATGACGGACCCTGACTCCTCAGGGTCAGCAGTGGGTTTCACTTGGAGTCCCGAAAGATGGCGGGTTAGATTTTTTTCTTCACTTCACATTTGTCAGATGAAATTATTTATCAAACTATTTTCTTTTTTGTTTTAATTCACATCCAAGTTAGCACATGGTGCGACACTGATTTCAGGAGTAGATTCCTTAGTGCCCCTCCCCCATTTAGCCCATGCCCCTTCCCACAACCCCTCCAGCAACCCTCTGTTTGTTCTCCATATTTGAGAGTCTCTTAATGTCTTGTCCCCTTCCTTGGTTTTGTATTCTTTTTGCTTCCCTTCCCTTATGTTCACCTGTTTTATATCTTAAAGTCCTCATATGAGTGAAGTCATATGATATTTGTCTTTCTCTCACTGACTAATTTCACTTAGCATAATACCCTCCAGTTCCATCCACATAGTTGCAAATGGCAAGATTTCATTCTTTTTGATTGCTGAGTAATACTCCATTGTGTGTGTATGTATTATATATATATCATATATATATATCATATATCATATGATATATGATAAAGAAGATATATCATATATATATCATATATCATATATATATATATGATATATATATATATATATATCATATATATATATCTTCTTTATCCATTCATCCATCGATGGACATTTGGGCTCTTTCCATACTTTGGCTATTGTTGATAGTGCTGCTATAAACATGGGGGTGCATGTGTCCCTTCGAAACAGCATACCTGTATCCCTTGGATAAATACCTAGTAGTGCAATTGCTGGGTCATAGGGTAGTTCTTTTTTTAGTTTTTTAAGGAACCTCCATACTGTTTTCCAGACTGGTTGCACCGGTTTGCATTCCCACCAGCAGTCCAAAAGAGATCCAACACCAGCAGTGTTGGTTGGCCATCTGGATGTCTTCTATGGAGAAGCGTCTATGCATGCCTTTGGCCCATTTCTTCACCGGATTATTTGTTTTTTGGGTGTTGAGTTTGAGAAGTTCTTTATAGACTTTGGATATGAACCCTTTATCTGACATGTCGTTTGCAAATATCTTCTCCCATTCTGTCGGTTGCCTTTTAGTTTTGCTGATTGTTTCCTTCGCTGTGCAGAAGCTTTTTATTTTGATGAGGTTCCCAGTAGTTCATTTTTGCTTTTGTTTCCCTTGCCTCCGGAGATGTGTTGAGTAAGAAGTTGCTGCGGCCGAGGTCAAAGAGGCTTTCTCCTCTAGGATTTTGATGGCTTCCTGTCTTATGTCTAGGTGTTTCATCCATTTTGAGATTATTTTTTTGTCTGGTGTAAGAAAGTGGTCCAGGTTCATTTTTCTGCATGTCGCTGTCCAGTTTTCCCAGCACCACTTGCTGAAGAGACGGTCTTTTTTCCATTGGATATTCTTTCCTGCTTTGTCAAGCATTAGTTGGCCATACTTTTGTGGGTCCATTTCTGGGTTCTCTATTCTGTTCCATGGATCTGTCTGTTTTTGTGCTGTCTGTCTTGATGATTACAGCGTTGTAGTATAGTTTGAAGTCTGGGATTGTGATGCCTCCAGCTTCGGTTTTCTTTTTCAAGATTGCTTTGGCTATTTGGGGTCTTTTCTGGTTCCATACAAATTTTAGGATTGTTTGTTCTAGCTCTGTGAAGAATGCTGGTGTTCTTTTGATAGGTATTGCTTTATCGATCTATTCTTAAAGGGGGTGGAGAACAGGAAAAAAAAAAAAAACAAACAGCCCCTGCTTATACATTTTCTAGATCCTTCAGCTGTCACCATTGTTAGGACACCCTATTTCCAGGTCTAAATCGCAAAAGCATCCGACTCTTGATCTCGGCCCAGGTCATGATCTCACAGCTCATGAGTTCAAGCCCCTCATCGGGCTCTCTGCTGATGGCATGGAGCCTGCTTGGGATTCTGACTCTCCTTCTCTCTGCCCCTCTCCCGTGTGCACTACATAAATATATAAATAAAATGTAAAAATAAAATAAAATAAAATACATCGCAAAAGCCTACAAGTCAAACTGTCTGTTCACATCAGTCTTGCCTTTAAAGACATCTCTGCCCAGAAGAGGATCTGGAGGTGGGGCGGGGTGTCACAGGCACAGGGCTGTTCACCACCGGGTCACTGCTGTCTAGGGTCCTGATGCTCTTGTGCCCTGACTTGGACCGCTGCTCCCTCCCTGAGGCCCTGTCCAGCCCGCTTTCCTGCAGAAAGAGAATCAGTCATCCTTTTCTTCTGTGGCCAAGGAGTCTTCAGGCATGAAATTAATCCCTAGGTATTTACGGGCACGTCCAATGTGTTCATAGTGGCGCTGGGCACTCTAAGGAACCCAGGAGCGGATTTCATAATCCAAGTCTGTGTGAAGTGACTGCTCTGGGCCAGAACTGTACTAAGGCTCAAGCATGGCAGTGAAGAAAGCAGGGCCTTCTGCTCTCTTGGAGCTGGCGATCAAGCGGGGAAGCTCCCACAAAATAAACGTGAAGTCAACAGGTAGATGAAACTGTGATAAAAGCCATAAAAGAAATCCATGGAGTGATGTGAGCCAGAGAAGCTTAGGCCAAAGCTCTGGAGTCCCCCTTGTCAGGATTTGAGCAGATACTTAAAGGGATGGCAGGAGCCAGCCACCCGGGGGCCGGCGGGGGACAGGGCCTTCCAAGCAGACGGTATAGCAAGAAGGACGATCAGGCAGATACACAGAGAACGGAGTGGAGGCTGCCTGGGGCCCCCCACTCCCTTCCAGAGGGCCCACTGAACCCAGTGTTTGGACCCCAGGGGAAAATTCAGAACCTTTCAAAAGAACCGTTCCTCAGGGCACCCAGGTGGCTCAGTCGGTTAAGCGTCTGACTCTTGATCTCAGCTCAGGTCAGGATCTCACGTTTCATGAGTTCGAGCCCCGCACTGGGCTCTGCACTGACAGTGCAGAACCTGCTTGAGATTCTCTGTCTGTCTCTCTCTCTCTCCACCCCCTTCTCTCTCTAAGATAAATAAAAGGAAGAAAGAAAGAAAGAAAGAAAGAAAGAAAGAAAGAAAGAAAGAAAGAACCCTTCCTCTAGGTTCTTTTACCTGTCACCAAAAGAGCCCGGACCTCCTCCCCTTATGTCCTACCATCTACTCAACCTCTCAAACTCCACTTGTCCGACGGAACTCACGGTCCAAGCCCCCCTCCCCTGCCAGGCGGTTTCTAATCTTAGTGAATCCTCCCAGCTGCTCAGAAGGACGGACAGTCCTAACCCTACGGTGGATGCAGTCAAGCAAGTCCATCTCCAAAGCATCTGGGAACCCCCTCCAAGTCCACAGGGCTGCCCCCCCCACCCGTCCATCCACCTCTCACCCACACAACCCAGGGGCCCCCTGATGGGCTCCCAGCTCACACTTAGCCCTCCCGCAGCCCATCTTTCCCCCAACCACCAAAGTCATTGTCATCACCTGAAAACCCCCTTTCACTGCCACCAGCCTCCGCCAAGTAAAAACCTTCAAGGCTTTCTAGTACCGTGATAAAATTCAAAATGCAGGGGCGCCTTGGTGGCTCAGTTGGTTAAGCACCCAACTCCTGATCTTGGCTCAGGTCATGAACTCAGTCCAAGCCCCCTTTCAGGGCTCCGTGCTGACAGCATGAAGCCTGCTTGGGATTCTGGCTCCCTTTCTCTCTGTCCCTCCCCTGCTCATGCTCTCTCTCATGCTCTGTCTCACTCGGAATAAACACTAATAAATATTTTGAAAATAAAAAGTAAAAATTACATTCAAAATGCAGAATCTGCCCATCACTGGCTTTCACCTCCCACCCTCCTTCCCATTGCTTATTTCCTGTGTTCATTCCACCACCCACTTTCTCTCCCTCCCCCCACCGTCTTCAGGTCAGTTTTTTGTTTTTTTTAAGAGCCAAGTCCCTTCCCACCTCAGGACCTTTGTACAGGTCACACAGCATCAACCGCTCAAAAGTATTGTTGATTGGTTTAGAAAGTCTCCCCAGAACAAAATGTGCAAAGACTAGAGTTTGTCATAAAGATGTGTCCCGCGTGCATGTAAAAAACAAACAAACAAACCTCGAAACCCCCCTGTTCCGTGGCAATCGGTCCCCAGCCAGGCCACGCCATCCGCAGCCACTGAATGAAAGCAGAGGACGTGCAGAGGGGAGGCGGGAATAAAAAAGGCATCGGCAGAGGGCAAGGAAGGAGACAGCTGAAGAGAGAGAAGCCTCTGCAGGCGCAGTTTTCCGTCTAGCTGCGCGGGTCTGTGAGGACGCGCCTTCCGCATCCTCAGCGCCCTGTGCTGCCGCGGCCACTAGGGGGCGGTGTCGGCCAAGGTGTCCGCGAGCGGACG